TATTCACTCTACCACAGTTGACTTCCCAACTCTATTATCATATAGTAGTTATTAATGTATGATTGACCTATTTAACTAATGTTATACATTTATCATTCGCTATGCCTTGTGATTACATATTTATTGCGTGCACATGCTTCCTCTCCACCCATTGTCCTCTTATATTCTTTTTCTCCCTTTTCCCTTATTTTCATCATAGCTCCCCCACTACATGGCCTCTGCCTCTCTCTTTGCTGAGGTTGCTGTACCTTCTCTGACTATGACAAAGTACTCTGCACGCATGTAGTGGTGTATTTCTCTGTGTGCGTGTGTGTAGGCTGCACTGTAGTGTTTGAGTGCATGCACTGCCTGCATTACCTTCATTTTTAGTTGGCAAATTTCACTGTTTTTGTGTTTGTTGGAATGTACACATTTGGCACTTGCAGCATGTTGGTGTGTGTTTGATGTTTGTGTGTGTGTGTGTGTGTGTGTGTGTGTGTGTGTAAACATACTGCCGCATACTAGTCCTTACATATACTGCTTATGTCATACTATACTCATCTGGTTTGTCCTCCATTACCCCTCACTTTTTTCATCACTTGCTCTCTTGTTCACCTTGTTTCTCCCTGCATGCTCCTCTTCTCCTGCTCCATCCTCCCTCCCTCCCTCCTCTTGGCTCCCCCTCCTCCATCTCCTGTCTCCTCCTTCTGTCCCCTCCCTCTTGTTTCCTCCTTCCTTTCTTCCGCTCTCTCTTTCCCATTGATAGTGGTGCATTTGTGACTAGAATACTGAGGAGCTAATCATTATTCCACGAGCGCTACGCAGTGCTCAGGCAGAATGTCAACCCCCCCCACCCCTCCCCACCCCCACTGTCTTCCTCTGTCTTCCCCTCCCTCCCCTATTTTGCATCCTTTTTAAGCAATAGTTAAATTGGAAGCCACATTTGTGTTCTACAAAGAGAAAAGTGAGGAAACACTCCATACACATTGGTAATTGCAAACACTGGGCTCTTAACACCCGCAGTGAGGTGAGGTGTATGTGTAATGGTTGAGTAAGGTTTACATTTGTGCTGTGGATGGTATTCGTGGTGTGTGTGAGTGTGTGAGTGATACGTAGTTGTTATGTAAAAGTGCTCCACATCAATTTGTCAAGAGCAAAGTGGTGTGGGATGGAGATGAGAGAGAGACAGCTGTTGAATGCATATTTAGAGAGAGGACTAAAACAGAGAGTGACAGAAGACTTTCAGTGGATGCAGTGAGGCCTTAAACATAATATTATATCAAATTGCCTCATTGCATTTCTAGTTTCTGGATTTTCAATTTATAATAACATTAAATTACTGAGTGGTAATATATACGCACAATGCAAGTCTAAAAAGGTAGAATCATTGTCTCCAAGCATTGCTTGACACTATGATTTGGGTAAATTAGACTAGTGGAAAATTAGACAACACGTGCACAAACACTCACTCAGAGGCTGCGGGCCTTGTGTCAGTGTTTGTGATGGAATTGGAGTGACAGAAGACTGAGACTCCTCCTGACTCCCTGAAAACTGCAGCTGTGGGTTACAGCCAGGGGTACCGCTGTGAGCAAAACCCTCCTCGCCATCCACATGCACAGACCCTGATAAAGAATTGTAAATTTGCAAGTTATTGGATGCAAAAATAGTCAGATCCAAACAGAAGCAAACACAAAGACAAAACAAAAATGTCGTTGCCTAAGGGAACCTCTGGCGTGACATGGCGGCGGTCTGATAGGCACAAGCATGAGTGAGTAATAGGTGTTCCAGCACTGTCCGCCCACTGGACAAAGACATCTTAAGATGCGCATTATTTTGTAAGATGCAAAGTGAAGAGGTGAAAACATGATGAAGCATTGGGAGGGGGGCTTTTTGAGGCTAAAGTAGGGGAGACAGCTCAGCAATGTCACTAACTATATTTGCTTCCTGTTTTGATTAGGGGACAGCTACGTGAGCGAATCAGAGTTGATGTTTCCAAAGGCCCAAATCAGGCGGTATTAGTCAACATGGGAGACACAAATAGTCCATTGCTTTACATGATGTTGCTGTGTATAACTAACGAAATGCAGAAGCTATGTGAATGAAGCACTTATAGACACATGACAGGTTTAATCATCAGTTTGTTCTTTTTAAATCTAACACCAATCTTGTAATTTAACACCTCCTCTACAATCTTTTAAAGCATTATTTACAAATAGCACTGCCAGGCAACACAGCGTTGTCACTAGCAATTAAAGAGCCACCTCATGCACAGAGTGACAAAATCAATGATTCAACACAGTGTGGCAAGTTTAATGGCCTTGGAGGACATGAAATGCTAAGGGAGCATTGGGGCTGCAAGGTTAAGAAAAAGATCTATATTGAAAAGGCTACTTGGACCGACCGAGCACCAGAGAGGAACAAAGGCATCATAAGGCCAATGTCCTGGTCTCGTTAGGAAGGATGAGACAGCGTAGTGTGTAAGAAGTGAGGCAGTGACATCATATATTGTGAGCTGCTTCTCTGGAGACTGCTGTCTGCTCACAGTGGACTCATGCTGTTGTGGAGTTGTGAATTATATGAGTGAACATTATAAATAGTGAGGAGGATGTCAGCTCCATTCAAGGGAGTCCCGCATGAAGTGTCAGGGAGCTCTGGTGAGAGGACAGATGATTTCCAGCACATTTGTCACCGCATAGTAAATGTGCTGTGGCTAAAGACATGGTCAGTTGTTGTTTTTGTAACAGAAGAAATAATACAACACTTAACGTCTTAGCTGATCCTGTCCTGAACGTCAGACGTAGTATGCTCTATTGAAAACATCCTTTTTACGTAACATGTAAGGAATCAGTTATTGCACTTAGCCCCTGACAATAAAATGAATAAGGCACATGAGGATTAACACAATGTAGCTGGAATAATTAAGTTAGATTGCACATGTTATGAAATGTTAAATACTAAGCATATTTGAAAAGCACACTTGCACATGTTAATAAAAAGTCATGTTCCCCTTTTCTTGTGGCAAAACAGGAAGAAGTTGTATATGAAATCGTTAAATGTCCCTCTTCATGTGTTTTAAGAACTGAGAAGTGTACTTTAAATATATTAGGGACAAAAATATACAGTACTTCAACTACTGTGTGAGACTGCACTCATGTTTGATGGTACCTTGCACTCTGACAGGATTATTATGCCCGTGTGTGTGTTTACCTCAACTTGCCTGTCTTGCATGTGTGTTACAACATTGTGGTTTTGGAATTGGACCTAGGGATATTTTAAATACTTGAAATATGCTGAAGGGTCACAAATGATCCCAAATACACTTTACCATGATTTCTAACACTAATATGTGTCTCTATCCTACCCCCTAATTATGAGAAAAGTCCATCCTCTCAATCTTTCGCCTGCTCCACTTTTAAGGAAATGTGTACACAAACAGGCTGTTTGAAGAGTTTCCCCATCACAAAGAGCAGTACCCCCTCCCCTAGGTGGGTGGCGCTCCCTCAGCTAGGTGTTTGTTCTGCGCTCACTTGTTTATGGTGAGTCTGCCTTCTCACCATAAACAATTGGGCATGGTGTAAGAAAGCCCAAGTGAACCAAGCCCTTCCAGAGGGGCGTGGTCATACACAGCTCATTTGCATTTAAAGCTACAGACACAGAAACAGCCTGTTCTGAGCAGGGCTGAAATAGAGGGGTTTATAGGCATGATCAAATATAGGATCAGAGTGGATTTAGAACAAGAAACTCCACAGACATGTTTTAAGGATGTGTGAGACTTATTTAAATGGGTTCAAAGGGAATATATATGTAAGCTTTAAGATATACTGCACAACTGAAAAGTAAATCATGATAATGTGGAAGCTGATAAGTTTTATTGTCTGTAAAATCACTATCTACTTGGCACACTGGTGGCCTGGGTGTGTATTAAGACCTTTAACTGCAACATCAAGCGGTTTACATTCAGCTGGATTGCTGCTTAGGTTTCCCATCTCTCTATCTCGCTTTCTCTCTCTCTCTCTCTCTATATATATATATATTTCTATCTATCTATCCATCTCTATTCTCTACACATTATTTCAATTCATCTCTTTACTGTCTTTGCTGCCATGCATTCTGTAAATGCCCCCCCACCCCTCCAAAACACCAACAAACCAAAAATCTAAATCTAAAATATAATAATTTACAGCTGTCAAATAAAACTTGTTTAGTTAAAGTCTGAAGTGACATAATCTTGAGCTTTCTAATAAAATTACAAATACGGCCGTGCTACTCCTAAATGACATTCTACTTGAGGAAATGTAATTAGTTACTTCCCACTGTGTAAGGCTATGAACATGTTAGATGTTATCTCACTCTCTGACACTATTTATGCTCGTGTTTGTGTTTACCTCTACTTGCCCTGCTTGTGTTTGTGCATATCAGTGACATAATGTCAATATGTGCCTCCAAATGTGAGCCCAGTTGTGTGTTTACTTCTGATGCTGTTGCTGTGTGTCTGTGTGTGTCATAGGGCATGAGGCGAGTTGCGTGGTGGTGTGATATTGTTTGTCACCCTGAGCATGTAGCCATGTCAAACTCTGTCAGGCTAGTTTACCCTGGCAGAGGATGTAACACATCCCTATGATTACTCTGTCTCCCTCTTTTTCTCTTTACCGCTCTCTCCCTCACTTTCTATGGCATGCGTGTGTGTGTTTCAGAATGTGTGTGTTTTTCCTTGTGGACAGTGTTTTGCCTTTCTCCCCTGTTTCAAATGTCTATCTCAGAGACTGACAGAGAGAAGAAACAGGGTAGTGGGCTGAGTTGATATTCATCTTTGAGAAGAAATCCCTGAGAGAGAGAGACAGAGAGAGAGAGAGAGAGAGAGAGAGTAAAGCAGTGGGTGTAGGAAAGTAGGAAGGAGGAGGGAGAGAGTGGGAGGGTACTGGGAGAGCGAGAGAGAGCGAGAGAGAGAGAGAGAGAGCTGATTAGATTTGAGAAAGCCAAGTAGGAGCGGGTATACTATTGAGCAAGGGAAGAGAGAGAGAGGCAGAGAGGGGAGGGGGACGAAGTGAATGCAGTTTGCCGTCGCGTGTCGCCGACTCACAGCAAAGTCTACAGACAGGCAGGACAGATTGGACCTGAATCAACAAATGGATACAGAAAAACTGGAATTACACTGGATATGAGGAGAAAATAAGGGAGGACGAAGAGTCAGCCTTCATCTCTTTTTATCTCTGCATCAGATAGCGCTGCGAGGAACCCACAGGGAGGCAGAGGAACACAGCGGACAACTCATTTCTCTCTAACATCCTTGGAAGCCGAGGAGGAGCTAGAATACAGCCAGATTGAATTTAATATATGCTTTGTAAGTATATGTATAGCTTGAGAATTCAAGTGTACAAGGTTTGTATGTGTGTATGGATGCTTTGGTTTAAAGAAGGACAAAAATAGAGGGGAAGAAGGGAATGAAAATGCAGTAGTGCTGCAATGTCTCTTCTATTGTGAAGTGCTGTGTGCCTCACTGAGCAGCTTTTTTTTCCTCCAATTTAAACAACTACCCCAGACTTGACTCTGTGTGTTTGTGCCATTTCCTCCACAGTGCCGCTGTGTGTGTGCGTGTATCGGTAGTGTGTGAGAATGTGTGTGTGAGCTGATAATAGCAGCCCCATTTGTATTCAGTGGAGGGAGCTCCAGGATCTCGCTGCGCCTTTCCCCAGGATGGGATCACAGAGCAGGGATTGTGCTCGCCTGTGGAATGCCCTGCTGAAATGGGTGAGTGTCCGTCCTCCTCTTTTTTTTTTACTCCTTTTTTCCCTCTTTACGTTCTCTTTCACACCTCCTATTTTCGTGCTCCTTATATCTCTTAGACTACACACTCTTCTTCAGTCTGCAGTTATATTAATAGTGTTTTTTCACTGCTGAAAAAGGGTTTTCCCTTCGTTTCCTCCATGTCTCCCCCAACCACTCACCCTGTCCAACCAACCTCCCTACCACTCCCCCACCTGTTTTCCTCCATCCCTCCTTTCCCTGGTTCTTTTTTCATCCAGCAGTCATCCTCTCCTTATCTCTTTCCCCACATCAAGGCACACACATGTCTATCCAGTTCAATGGATTTGAATGAAATCTGAATGTTTTACTTTAATTTGTTGCTTCTCTCCCCCCTCACTCCCTCTTCCCTCCTCTCTTACTTTCCCTCATCGGCTGTGTTACCCCTCCCCCCCACTCTCCTCCATCCATCCCTCTCTCTTTTTCTGTCTCTTCAAGATCCTCTCTACATTCTGTTTGAATTCAGACATACAGAGAGACATTCGAGTCTCTTTCCTGACATAGGCACTGAATGGAGGTGCTGGAAATGTGTATGTGTGTGCTATTTCTGTGCCTGTGTCAATCATTCTGAAAGCTTTTCATGTGTGTGCGTCTGAGGCACAATGCAGGGAGGGCAGAGGTGTGTGTTCAGCCTGAGTGTGTGGGATTGGTGGAACAGAAGGTTATGAAGTAGATCAATGTGTTTAATTGCTTCAGGCATGACAGCTGTGACAAACGCACGCACACACTCGCATTGTCACTCCTTTGACACGTACCTCCATCTTTGCACTTTCCTCCTGCACACCAATTCACACCTACCTGTCCCTTTTTCATGTGTGACCTGAAAGCATGCTAATGGTGCACACACAAACAAACACTGAGCGATGACCTTACTCAACACACACATGGTCTCATGCTAAATGGTCCTATGAGGATCTGGGTGTCGTAGCAGGGTCAGTTCCATCCACACAGCAGTATTGATTAAAGATGAAACACCGAATGGCCTCTAATATTTCATTTGAAATGGACCATCACCTTACTGGACTGTGGAGAAAAGTAAGGAGTCACTAAACCTATTTAATGATTTCTTCTTCTGTTAACATAGTTGATAATATTGTCGATACACAGCTCTTAATTGACATCCACTTCAAAAGAAGAACATGCCATTCAGTGCTTTTGTGAAATGTTCTTCATTTAACTGTGAACTGAGAGTTTTTTTTATTCAACTTTAATATATTCAACAGGTGCAAACTGTTGCATAGTAACAGCAAATACTACCTGTTGGGTAGCTAAGATTTGAAATCCTGCTGCTATTTTTAAAAATTAAGGCAATCTGTTTGACAAAATGCGGGGTGATTTATTAGAATAGAAAAAAAAAAAAGAAACTCAGCCAGCATCCAAGTCTTTCAAAGCTCAGGCCAATGTTTGTTTTACCATCTGTCATCTGCTTGGATACCTTTCTGCCTTTAACATTGTTAGTTTGCAGGGATGTAAGATTATGTTTTGGCGGATTATAAAAGTACATAATTGTAACAAAACCATCCGTGTAGCTGAACATTTGATGTTCAGCACAGTTTTCCCATAGGCACTACATTTTAGTTGTGTGCAAAAGATGCAAGAGAGGGAAATCAAATACAAACATAATGACCTGTCAGAGATCTCACAGTACAGATTGAAACTCATACATAAAAAGGGTTGCAGGTAATCTTGCATCAGTTTGTGTAAAAACATGGGAAAACTGTCAATGTTCCTTTATTCATATTGATGTACATTCACTCCTTTTCTCTACAGGGTTATTTCATTCTAACATTTGTATTCTACTAATATGTTTTTTATCTAGTTCAATAGTGCTCTGCTGAATTCAACAGATTCTATACATCTGCCATGTAACCTATTTAAAATGAAGAGAATGTAAAGCTGAAAGGCAGACTTTTACCCCCACTAAGACTAATTTTGATGTTTCATTGAATCAAACCGTGATCCCTGTATTATGTTTTTAATTAAACATGCTTCCCTTCATTTAGTTTGACAGCTAGTGCAATGCTAGTCTATACCCGGGCTGCCACTTTTTGAAAATATCTTGTTTGAACAAATTCAAACTGATATGTAATTTGCTTGAATGCAAACCATGTGGCCTTATCCTAAAACTCACTGAGGAATAAACTCTGTTTAATCAGCAGTGCCTCAGCTACTTCACTTGAGTGACAAGCTAGCGTTACCATAAGGCAGCTAGTTGCAGTTCACAGCTAGTTAACAGCCCTTGCTACGTGAATAGTGTTGAATCCACTTACCATCGAGAAGATTTGGTGTCCTTTTTTAGTAATTCAGCACAGCTCTCATGACTCTCATTTGCCTTTTCCGTTAGCAAAGAGGGCAACAAGAGGGCAACAAGGGCACAGAGTGGATCAGACCGTCAGTGTGTTAAGGGACGTCCCAACTGGATTAGGCACATGCACCTCTCTCACTGCAAATGTTAAGCTCTAGTAAATCATAACAGGCCAAATACTTTATGTTTCCCCAAGTGGGAATGCCAGATTAAATTCTAGAGGAAAAAATCACATTCCTAGTATACCCTGTCAAGTGTGACTACATGTACCTGACCATTGCTTTGACTCTAGTCCTTCACATGCCTCAGGCATACTGACCAGTCAGAGATTTCTTGCAGTCCTTCAGTGTGCTCCCTCACTTGCCTCTTGAGCTGGAAACTGTGGATTGTGATAGACAGCTAGGTTTGATTTTAAGAAAAAGACAGCAGAAATGATTGGATGAAAGCAGGCTAGGTGCAGTTTTAAAAATCGGACAGAGGAAATAGAAGAGTGATGCGATGGGGGAGTGTTAGGAAATGAGCTTGTTAGAAGAGAGTAAAAGGATCAAATCACAGGGTGAGTGAAGTGGAGGAAGGAACAAACAAGCAGCAAAGTCTGAGAAGAGTGACAAGGACGGAATAGACAGCAGGAAGACAGGCAGGGTCGAGCGTGACGAGGGGGAGAATGACATGCGCGATAAGGCAGAGTGACACAAATGTCACCATGCTAACCTTTCATGCACTCTCACTCTCCCTCACCTCTACTTTGACTCTCTTCGTCTTCTACTTCTAGATCTGAAGACTCACAGAGATGGACACCAAAATGGACAGCATGGATGCCAGTAGAGACCCTGCGGCGACGAGCTTTGTAGACCTGACCGCCTTCGACTTTGTCAGCCATCAGCCTGAACCATCCCAGCAAGGACTGAAGCTGGACAAGCTTGACTGAGATCCTGAGAGCTTGAAACAGAGTCGACAGAAAAAGGAGTCAAATTATAATCCAGTCCACCTGTTGAGAGCATCAGTAAAAAGCTTCTTGGACTTCATCTGAAATGAAATGAGCTGCAGTGATGCTTGAGAAATGGTATGGAGCTTTTGGACATGTCCGGATTTATCGCCTGGATATCCTATCGAGATTACGACACTTTAGTGCACACTTTAGAGCTGGGCCTCTTTTCCAGATTGGCTTGTGGGCCAAAGCAAGTAATTGAAAATCCCCCCTTGAAACGCTCTTTCTTCTGATTTTTTGTGAGGGAGGACGTTTTTTTCTAAGGAAACAATTTTTTTATAAACCCACTCCATATCCCACATTTTCCCCCATCTTTTTTTTTTCACCATTTTCTCTCACGTTGTGGAGTAATACATTATGAAGCATCGCCCTTCCTTTTCATCCCCCCTTGGTGACAGAGAGACAGGAGGGACAGACTGTCCAGAATAGGTAACGAACAAGGAGACTGACACACAGGAGAGTAAATAGAGGGAAACAGGTAGAGAAGAGAAATAAGAAGACAGATAAGGGAAATAAAAAATAACATTTACTGGGGTCCTTTTGGAGACTTCCCGATTCGTCTCTGCCGTGTTGGAGGCTAGTTAGCGCAATGGGCAGGGGAGGGGTCAGGATTTACACTAGGGGGGGCACTTGAGCAGGAGAGTAGGCTTATGTCCCCCCTGCACCCACCTGATTTGAATCTTAGTGTTTGGCAGGAAGACAGACTGAAAGATGTCCTGGTAAACAGACAGCTATACCGAATGACAGACAAGCTCTGAGGCTAGAGAGAGAGACAGGAAGAGAGGAAGACAGGTACACAGCCTTTTCCAAGTGTCAGGCAGAGGGCCAGGCAGACATCCAGTGCAGGCATCCAGTGCAGGCACAGTAGACAGCCTGCAATTCATTGTCATTCTTTGCTGCCTGCAAGGGAGAGACAGACAGAAGCAAAGAAAGCAGAGACAGGAAGGACAAGAGGAGCATCCCTGTGTTTGTAGCTTGTGGAGGATCTCACTTCATCTGCATCCACCTCAGTCAAGAGCCCATGCTCTGAAAAAAGAAAAACAGGCAGTGAGGGAGGGGGCTGTTACTAGAAAGGAAAGACAGGTTGGAGAGAGAGAGTGAGGGAGGAAGAGAAACAGAGGGAGTGAGCAGGTGTCGGAAATCCTCCCCTTCATCTGCTTGTCATTTACTCCTTTATGTTCTCTCGTCGTCTGGCGAAGTGATTGGTTTTCTGATGCTGGTGTTCCTCTGCACATAGCCTCCACATCAACACCACCACCACCGCCAGCACCACTGCTACACCCCCCCCCCCCCCCAACCCTCCACAATCCTGAGGAGCTGGGCAGACAGAGGGAAAGCAGTAAAAGACAGAATAAAAGGAAAGGTGGAGCACTGTTGTGATTGACAAATTTTTCACCCCATTTCTTTTCTTATTTGTCAAGGAGGGCTCTTGTTATTTCTTCACTTCTTGATTTTTTTCTTCTCAGAGTAAGAGAAGAAAAACACAGTCCAATCAATCCCTCATTCTCTTTGTAGACAGAGTTGAACCTCTCCTTTCATCAAGTGTTGATTTTTCTTGCCTTGTCCTAAAGGGATTATTTCCTCCATCTCAGTATAAACACTAGAATCCTTCAGATTCCCTCCATATGTCCTCAGCCCCAAAATGACACAGTGTGGACCCCTCTGATTCCCCCTTGGCATCCCCCACCCTCAACTGAAGTGCTGAAACCCTTTGGTCTCACATCTCAATGCCTGTGTTGACTCACCACTACAGCGATAATATGGCACAACGCTTCTGATAACGTCTGATTCATTCTGTAAGTAGGACTCTCTCTCTTCCTTTTGTGTGTGTGTATGTTTGTTCACATGTGCGCTGACTGTCATTAACGTGTATTCAGCTCATGTATGCACAAACACAGATGTGGTCTGTCTTTTTGCAGTGTTGGTTTTATGGTGTCTTCACAGCGGATTTGCTTTCCTGTGCTTCCTCTGCTCCAGGCAGTTACAGTGTGTGCGTGCGTGCGTGCGTGCGTGCGTGCGTGCGTGCGTGCGTGCGTGCGTGCGTGCGTGTGTGTGCATGTCTGCCAAAGAAAGAGATTTTGATCTTACAGCAAAGCTTACAACAGCATCAGAGTGGTGTCAGAAAGAGGCAAAGGAGGTGCCTTTGTGTGTGTGTGTGTGTGTGTGTGCTTTCGTATTGGTCCTGAGGTTAATTTGAACTAATGGGGGGGGGGGGATGATTCTGATTCCCTGACTAGTTCTTTGTTGCCTTCATGTTTTAAGTCTTAATGCCTGAGCGTTACACCCCGGCTTCATATCATTTCAACATCCTTTTATCTCCATATGTGTTGCCTCGGAAAAACCCCAATCCCAAGACCCAGCCTCTGCAATGTCCTGCATATTACTGAGCCCATCTATCTCAGTGGACACATCCACATCTTTATACACTCCCACAGTCACCAGGCCCTGCACCGGGAGACGCTCAATCAAGATAGTCCCTTCAAACAGACCAATGAACTGTGAATAACGCCATTACACAAACTCCCAGCTCAGAGCGTTACAGAGACAGTAAAGATTGGGAGGGTGCAAAAAAAAAAGGGAAAAGAAAAAGAAATCAAGGGAATGAAAAATTCTGGAGATAGAAGAAGGGGGATGAGAGAGGCAACAGAGAGGAGGACACAGAGGATCGAGGGAGGGTAGGGTGAGAAACAGAGAGTGAGATGGGAGTGCGTGGGCCTGGAGGGGCCATGGAGCAGGAAAAGACCTCTGCTCCATGGGAGCACTCTGATGGGCTTAGCAAAGGCCCTGCTTTGTTCACACTGTTGGTCAGCCTCTCAGAATTAAGATTACTAAATAATACGATTACTGCAGCTGCACACTGATAACACGCTGCTGCCGATCCCCTTTGTCACTGTCACAAGAGCCAGAGAAGAGAGGAGGAGGAGGAGGAGTGGCATATGATGGCATCAAAGGCATGACAGAAGTGACAACATTACACTGTCAAAAGGGCCCATGCTTCACGACATGGCTTCTCTGCTTTCTGCTATGTTAAAAGCCCAAAAGCTGGTGTGATGATTCACATGAAAAGTGGCCATGAACAAGGTTTCTTAGGCTAAAAATACAGTTGGATCAAATGGATGAAGGTTGTCATTTTGTCCAATTATGTGACATAAATTTTGACTCAACTTATGTTTTTCAGTTGTGAATGTGTCACTGTAACTCATAAAGGGACAAAAAGCATAAACTAGGAAACGTCTCTGTATTACCTGATCCCACACGCGTAAACATAAACCAAAGCTCTCATGTTTAGACATCTGCCCCTTATCTTGATGTTTTACACCACATCGTCTGCGTGGGCTATTTGTTTCATGTTTTCTGCGCTTGACAGATTTGACACGGATTCCTGCCAAGTTGACCTTGCAGTTTAATGTGTAATAAAAGCTGAATTCCCTGGCTGTGTTGCACATCGATACATGTTCTCCTGGTAGCTGATAAATGGTCTACTACCCCCTCGGGAGGGGAGAAAAAAACAAGCAGGCAGCAAAAACCGCTGTCCAGTCCTACTGAGCGGAAGTAAAGTACAACCTTCAGAAACCCACTCATCCCAGTGTACTTAGCTAATATCAGGGTAGGTTTGAGCTCGAACCCCCCTCCTTGGAGCCATGGAGCATCTTAGCTCTACTCTCAGCTGGAGCACCCATCTGCCTGCAGAGCTAAAGCTTTGCTAGGAGCAGGAGGCATTTGATAGTATAGTATAAAAATAACAAACAACAAACCAGAGTGGGGGGCAAAAAACAAAATCAATGAAATATGACACACATCAAAAAACATGCAGCTTAAAACAGCCTCAAACTACTACAAGTTGGCAACCATCCATTTCACTTTCTGTTCCCATGCAGCACATTTGTCATCTAGTGAATGCTTCATGTACATGTCAGGGAGTATACTTGCTGCACTGACAACAAAATGAACTTTGACCCCAAGCTGTCCCCCAGCTGAGCCCCATAGCCACACAATAAATGTATGAGTCACTGTGCAGAACCAGAACAGCTCTGGTCAAAAAGCATCCATGTTGAATCACATGCCCTCTGCTCAGCGTGACATGCAGAAACAGAAAGGCAATATGGGGATGATGCCAAATACCAAATTATCAGGAGCATGTTCTTGCCGTTTAGTCTTCCTTTTTAAGTGCTTTTCACAGCAGCAGTGTAGTGTGTTGGTACAGTCTACTGTACAATCGTTTCACTCCACTTGGTCTGAATTGTGGCAGAAATTCACATGGTTCATGAGATAATTTTCACATTGAGCTTCCCGTCCTCCTGTTTGCACAAGTCAGGTCCTTTCAGATCAGCGATCCCATCGTCCCTCAGGGTTTGACTGTCTAATTGTTGGCTTAGATTTCTATTAGCTGGTTCCAGTTGTCATTCTTGATTTCATACTTGATTTCATACTTCATTCCTTGATGATTCCTCACTTGTTTTATTGTTAAGGCAGAAAACACATTTTCAGATCTTTTGCCTCATTAATCGTTTTACAGTTCTTTAGTAGTAACAGCTGTTCTTTGGTCAGCATCTGTTATGTCTTTAGCTGTGCTGTGATGTACAAGAAATGTTTCAGTCTTCTTAAAAAGGTACTGGAGGTGAGCTGCCAGAGGGGATGAATAAAAAAAGATGATTTTATAACCAATAATTTACAATTAACTATTTGCACTTGTTTGGCTTAAGAAATTGTTTGTTTCGATGTATGCAGATGAATTGGTATTCATAGTGTCATAGCAGAAATTGATGGTTGTTTTTACTTTTATCAACACTGAATTCATCTTTTTTTTTCTTTATGAGTGTGATTGGCTTCTGCAATCATTCCCCATGATGCCTCTTGCATGGCAAGTCACCCCTGAAGTATCTCTTTCAGTCCCCTGCTCCGAAATGAGCCTTGCTAATTCAGGATATGAAATCTCTTCTACAATCAAGCAGCACTTCAGCTTCCTCTGCCTTCAATCTTCCTTCGCTTGACCACCAGCGCGAGGCACTGCAGCCTTGCACTAAACCTTTGCTCCTCATTGCCTAATGGAGCACAAAAAATGTCCCTGTTTGCCTAGCTGTTTGTCCACTCCTGCTTGCTTCAGGCTAGCTGGCCTTGAGGGAAAAGATTGAGTGAGTGTGTGCTTGTGCTTGTGCTTGTGCTGTGTGTGTGTGTGTGTGTGTGTGTGTGTGTGTGTGTGTGTGTGTGTGTGTGTGTGTGTGTGTGTGTGTGTGTGTGTGTGTGTGTGTGTGTGTGTGTGTGTGTGTGTGTGTGTGTGTGTGTGTGTGTGTGTGTGTGTGTGTGAAGGACGACAAAAAATGGACATTAGGACACACATGCCCTTTCAGTAATGTGCTCCCGGCTGGGCTGTTTGGCTGGCCATAAAGTGAATGCTGCTAATGGCCCCTCGGTTAATGGAGTCATTAAGATTGGATTGCAAAAAGATAAAAGCAATGTGTATAATGTGTGTGACACGGATGGAAGTGTGAGCGTTGGTGTACTGTTACTGTAGCTGCTTTGTGTATTTCTGGTTATTTAGTGCTCTACTAGTTGATACTCCCAGGATGCCACTTTCTGCAACAATGACACTGTCCTGCATAAGCATTAGCAGAAAGGTCGGTATTCTATCTAGTTTGATTGAAATGCGTCGTGAGGCTCAGGTGATCTGTCCTGACCAGCTCTGTCCTGATCAGTCAGCTGGCCGAGTCTCTCGGAGTCACAGCTATAATGTTTAAGCGCGACATCGCCGCTGCCTTGTGTGTCTGTGACAAGTGACAAAGGCTGATGGGCTTGATTTGAGGTCATTTCAGGACCTGTCCCCGAGAGAATACGGCAAGGCTGGCGAATGGCATTCTGGGTAGTGTTGCGTGTTATTTTCATGGTGGCAGTGGCATGACTGCTCATTAAGTCTATGTCAATTTCTTGTTTTCTTACCAGAGGGTTTTGCTTATGTCACCGTGCTCATCATGTTTTAAGCTTCAGCTGCGGTTGGTCCAGCATGCCTCGTTTGCTTGTTGTATTCAGTGAAATGCAGCCTTTATTGCACCACGAGGGAAGGCTAGTTTGCAGGCAGAATTAACATTAAATCACAGGATAAAATAATTAAAACAGAGAAGAAAACTCTTTTCTAATTAGGCTGGGCAGAGAGTCAATACTTTTAATGCCAAACATAAAATAGTTTTTCTCCACTCTGAAAGTATAATTGTTGTAAAACTTCAAACAGAGCTGGATTTTACTACACTGTTTACACATTTCAACACTCAAACCTTTGCCAGCTTCATGGAATATTTATCAGTCAAGTTGTGTCAGTCCACGTTTCAGAAGATCAGAGGATACATTTCAGAGTGAAAGAGCGCACCTTTTAATCTAATCAGTGACTAAGCAGAGAAAGCCTGCAGCTATAAAATGGAGTCTCAGCAGGGGTTGTCACACTGCAATCACTGATCAAACCTGTCTGCACACCTGAGGGGGTCATGCTGCAAAATAAGGAAAACTGGCTTAATCTCCATGTTCTTTTATTTTCAGATAGACTAGTGATGGGTATTATCAGGGTGGATGTTCTGATCTTAGATTTCATTATGTCAGTCAGAAGAGACAAAATGATAGTAGATCAAGACGATATGTATTTGTGTTCGGAGAGTCTTTTTGTTAAGCCTGTAAATAGAGTGTGACTTCAGTTGAAGGGCAATGTCTTTTATTACAGTATGAGCTGAGGCTATCTTATACTGTTCATCCATTCTGCTACTATTCTATGTAATTGCCTTTGTGGGAGAAAAAAAATGTTCTCTAGTCGTTC